TATTACGTGGGGTAAAATGATAATGGATCTCACAATTTTGAGACTTTTTTGTAAAAAAAATAAATTAAAAAGGGAAACCAGGTATTCTTTTGCTTCCACTTTCTGATTCATACTCATATATTGCATCAACTCTCACTACAAAATGTGTAGCTGTAATGTACCCAAATGTGAAAAAGCCCACAAAAACACTTTCAGATTCAACAATTTTCACTTGTCTCTGAGACATTATATATCCATTTTAAGTCTTGAAGTCAAAGCCTGGCTAAGCAGGCGTGTGAAAGAGGAGAGATGTGGGCTTGAGGCCAAAAAAAATGACAGAAGTCAAACTAAAAGAACAGAAATCGCTCAAATATAACATCAGTATTATTATTGCTGAGGCTGATCATGTGCCAATGAATGAACAAAGTAATGGTCTACAGGCTGATTGGTACAAAACAAAGATATGTGGGAGAAAACAGACCCATTGCAAGTTGGAGAGGTGGGATTTAAAGAACAAACATTAAGCCCAGGCTTCTCAATTACTCCATTTTTTCTCTACCAAGTGTTGCACCACAGAAGAAGAAAGCATAGATTTAACAGGTGAGGACATCATCACCAGACTGAAGCAGTGTCTAAATATTTAGTGACTAGTGACAAATATGGTGCTTATATCCAACCAGGACTGACTAGGAAATTAGGTTAAAAAAGTCCAATGTGAGTTTATACCAGCATGGAACTTTAGAAGCTGTTAGTATGGCGACTGATAAGGTATAGGCAGATGTTTCTTCTAGGTTTCCTCCCTGGCATTTCTTTATAAGGTTTTCTGCATCTTTTAAACTGTCAAAAACACAAACCTTTAGTCTACTAGTGCCAATTGCATTCTATTGTAAGAGGCAGCTCATGCCTTAATAATAGTTTCAATTTGTGCACATGAAATGATTAATATATGAAGGTTATAAAAGTACGTTTTTTTTTTAGTATTCATAGTACAGAGGACTTACATTTCTCATTAGGTCTTGCCAATGCAAACAAAGGTGAGAATAAAAGAAAGGTAGGTATTTAAGCTTGGTAAAAGTTAATCCAACATAAACTCTTAATATAGCAGTAGGCATAACTTTTTTCTGAAAGATATTAAAGTGATTTGTCTATTTTCTGGAAGGAAAGGTTTCACTTGATGGATTAATTAAGTATTAATACTTAAAACTTCATACTGATCATCAAATAAATTTGATGGCGTTTGTCATTTCGACCATCTACATTGTACTTGTTGATGCCCTTGTATAACAAGATAACTTGAGAAATACATATTGAATTAAAAGGCAGTTAGGACACACAATTGTGAATAGACACCACAATTCGGGCACAGGGAAGCATAAAGTGCAGCTGAAAGAAAGCAACTAAATAATATTACTGTACTGAACTCCCTCAATTTTAGACTAGATTTTGTTGATTTTTCCACTTTTTAATGCAGTAATCCAAAATGTTTTGTGATGTAGGCTACTACTACTAAACATATTTTCAATTTAAAAACTGTGTCTGTCTAAAAAAATATGTCTGTGATTTACATCAACAGTGAGGGATGTACATTGTTTAGTGCTTTTGAGAGTGTTGTATCACGCTCATATTTTAGGAGTGAGGTCCTAAATGGACTTAAATAGCAAGCTTCTTGTCTTAGCCACCCAAAGCACTTTTCTAACACACACACACACACACCCTGACAGATCCACAGAGTGGTAGCAATGTTGGTCAGTTTCTGACCTGAGGACACTTCAACTTGCGAGAGGAAAAAGCTGAAATTTAACCAACAACCCCCTGGTTGATAATGAAACGTCTCTCTCATTGTGCTACAGCCACCCATAAAATACTAATATGTAAAAAGTGCGAGAGGTATGAAACACAATTTAAAATGGAGTTTTTAAAGAAAATTCAACATGGAAGACTCATCTTCACCGCCTCCACTCCGCCTGGTTATTCCTCCATAACAATCCAATCAGAGATAAGTCCGCTCTTCTCCTCGTTCAATCATCTCCCAAGACATTATATTTAAAAGGCCTTCATCATAGAAGAACCAGCTCATTGCTGAGCTTCGACCCCCCTCCTCCCCTTCCTCCACCATCTGGCTCCCATATTTACAAACTTCTTCAGGCCACTCCACCAGGATCGGATTTCCGGGGGGGGGGGGGGGGGGGACGTAGCTCACGTCATCCTCAGACTACACGTCTTCCTCCAGGGTCCGAGCGCCAAATAGATAATTTTCATTAATAAACCTGCTAATCATTATCTCGTTGTTTCTCCCTTTTTGAGTCTTTCCAGGTTGAAATCATGTTTTTTGAGTTTCTGAAGCTCTTTTCTAATAATTATGTTCTGCACGTTGTTGTATTTGTGCATCTATGATGTGGTTTATTCATAGGCTTTTCCAGGTGAGAAACAAAAATACATGAGGCCTTAATGTGGACCCGCTGCTTGTAAAACTATTTCCTCAAAAAACAGTCCACAAAAGGGGGTAAAACAAAAAGCTTAAAAGAGATGACACAAGAAAGTGTCTGTGAAGTTTAAAAATTAACAAAAAGCTCTCTGTTTTATGAAGATTTAGAACGTCTTAAAGAGGAGAGGCTACTTTTTTTTGTTCTAGATGTGACAAGACATAAAAGCTCAGGAAAAAAAAAAAACCTTGAAATTTTGGAGTCTATTTCCAGTCAGAATATATACATTCTTTTTTCACCCAAAACTCTCAGCATACATCCGAAGATGAAGAAAGAGAAAAGCAGGCTGTGGTGTTGGACTAAAGTAGGGAAGTGTGTGCAACTGGGAGTAAATGTGTTCTTACTCTTTACACTCTGAAGTGTTTACACTGAAGTTGAAGTGGAGCAGAAAGGCACATCTATCAGAAAACACAGCTTGGTCTGAAACATCCACGACCAAAACCCGCAGCCAAAACCCTGCTTGTCTAATAAAGACATTTTTGATGGTATATACAGTGCAAGATTCGGACCTTTCTTAAAAGCTAAACTCATTAGCATAAATGTTCTCTTAATTCAGGTCCATCCTGGCTCACAACAGCTCTCTCCTCATTCTGTCAGTGCCTGACTCCAGGTTCTGAAGAATTTTTTTTAAATTACAAAGAACACGAATATCCAAATATATTTTTAGAACATTACAAATCTTCCCAGGAATCTCAAGATGCATTGACAGAGAAAAAAATGCATGCCCTTTTTAACTTGTTCCTGTTCTGCTGATGTTTTTGAGTTTCATATCCAACACAACCATCAAGTTTTAACCAGCCATCAAGTCAATTTTAGAATAAAATAATATTGCAATACATTTTGGGAGAAAAACGGTTAAAAACAAGAGAAAGATGATATTTAACATGACCAATCAGAAAAAAAGTAAATTATGCGATTTTTTTTTCTTCAAAATTTCAAAGCCATACCTCTGGCAGGGAAGACAGAGGAAATAAGATTTTGGGGAGGTTCGTCAGAGATACTCCAATTTCACACTATCATATTAAAGTGTCCATCTGTCTGAGGATGGATGAGTGATACTCCTGCAAGGTGCAAGGCGGTCTGCAATTCCCATGAATAATTTGAGTGTGTCACTGTGGGCGGTCCTTTCTAAAGGAGATTGTCCTGCAGGAGGCTGGGTAATGATAGACATACTGGGTTTCTCTTTCATCCCCTTCTCCAGTTGATGAGCTAAAAGATAATATGAATCCCAGAGGTTGGTGAAATGACCAGCCTTCTCTTTTATTTTTAAATCATTATTTGCCCTTCTCTCTTGACTCTATTAGTTTTCAGATCTTGGAATGAGAGGCAAAGTTACACAGATACATATTTTGGATGTTTAATATTAGAAGACTGTCTATAAATCTCACCGGTAAAAAAGAAGACTATCTGAAACGTTTTTAAAAAACAGATCATCCCCAAACCTCTGCAAGCTTTGGCTCCTATGGAAGTTGCATTAACAGATGCTAAGAAGGGAGCATATCATTTGAACATGGAAGAATGAAAAATATGATACAAGGAACAAGGTCTCAAGATATTATGAGGAAATGGGGACAGAGAATAAACAAAGGTATGTGAGGCAACCCAGTGGTTCAGCACATTCTTGTTGCTACCCTGACACACAGTGACTCAGAGCCCAGTATATCACATTTTTATGCACCTTAGCTAAATGTTCATTGTACATGAACCTGATATACGTTTGCATCATGCTAGGTGAGCCCAAAAGTCTAGTGAGCTAGAAACAGTGATTGGGTAAATTATAAGATGAAAGATACACATTTTTTTATCGTTTTTGCTTTTTATTTTAAACCCAAATGTTTCAAATCAGCCAATAAATTACATATCAAACAAAGATAATCGGAGTAAACACATATTGCAGTTTGGAAAGGATTTGATTTATTACCTGGAAAAAACCTATCCAAGTCAACCTGTGTAAAAATAGTAATTGGCCACCAAATCTAATAACTCATTGTATTACCCTTGGAGGCAACAACTGACATAAATTATGGCTTGAGCTCATTTTCACAAATTGATGACCTGACATTAACCATCAGGATTTTGTGGTAGAAAGCAGAATCCTATGACTGCCAGCAAGTTTTCTTTGGTCCTGATTAAGCAAAGCAGCACTAGACCATTACAGTTTTACCACCTAGTTTGACTATGTGTCTGATATTCTTTTTCTGAAATGTTGTTTAGTAGGCAGTTACTTTTTCATATAGAGCCACATTAGTTTGGATCGCTTTTCTACCTAATAAAAACAAGCATTCATTCATCTTCTATACTGCTTATTCCATAAAGGGGTCACGGGGGAGCTGGTGCCTATCTCCAGCAGTCTACGGGCGAGAGGCAGGGGACATCCTGGACAGGTCGCCAGTCCATTGGGCAACACAGAGACATAAAGGACAAACAACCACGCACACACTCATTCACACCTACAGGCAATTTAGAGAGACCAATTTACCTAACAGTCATGTTTTTGGACTGTGGGAGGAAGCCAGAGTACCCAGTGAGAACCCACGCATGCACGGCCGGGAGTCGAACCCAGGACCCTCTTGCTGCAAGGCAACAGTGCAACAGTGCTGCCAACTGCGCTGCCATGCAGCCCAAAAATAAAATAAAATAAAATAAATAAATAAAATCAACATTCAATAAAACTGTATTTTGTATTTATTTGTTTATTAGGTTATCTAAAAACTAATGTTGGAGTCATTCATTTTAGTCGGGCAGCTGAACATGCGCAGCTCAACAGACATCGCAGCTCTGACGTCACCTGTGATTATAAAACCCGCGGAAAATAAACTTTCGTTGCCATTTCCAGCGTGTCTCACGGGACGACGCAACGGAGGCGCATTTCTGGAGAGACAAAAGCTCGCAGGCGAACTTTTGCTCCACAAGGCCATTCCCAGAAGAGCTTGAAAGCTGTAATTCTGTCTAATACAAGAAGGACAGAAGATTCATATACCGATCGCCGGTGAAAAACCCACAGAGGTTTTATTTCCAAGGAGATGAGTTCCTCCTTGTTGATTCAGTTGACTAAACGGTTCTTCATATTTTTCCCTCCTGGACGGATGAGAAGTTTACCGTTTTTCTTTTGAGTTGATCATGGACGCGTGATCCCCCCTCCCCTCGTTTTTCTTCAGACCTGACCCATCCTCAACTGGAGGAAAGAGGAAATCAACGTCAAAGTAATTTTGTTCTTTTCTTTGATATTAAATTGGATAGGTGCATTTAGAAGTCTGGGCAGGATGAGGCATAGTTAAGGTGATCTAGAATCACCAGTAGTTAACCCAAGGTATCAACTTGTGACATGCAATACTGATAGAAGTGTTTTATGCTGAGCTGTGTTTTGATTTGCTGTGCAAACCCTGCTGAATCGCGCGTGTTCATGTTTTGTCTGGCTGATGCCAAATCAGCCAGGAGTTATAAGTTGGACTTTTAAAGTTTTTCATTCAAAGCCACTGCGGTCTGGGCCTCGCCTGACCATTCCTTTGTTCCAGTTTTATTACTGGAGTTTTTCCACTGGATTTCTGCCTCAGAGTGTTATGACTCTTTGTTCGAGATTTGGGGCAATCAGCTGCTAGAGGCTCAAGGGGTGTGGCCCCACCGTTCTACGAGCTGGTCACCGCCATTGAGAGACATCAGCACACCAGGAGGGCTTCTCTTTCCATTTAACCCATTTTGCACATTTTGTCCACAAAACTGCTGATTTGATCTTCATTAACACTCAATGCGCATATATTTTTCTTTTATTATTATTGTTAGAAAGTCATTTTTATTCCCTTTGTGTAGAATGGTGCTTGTTAGTTAGGTGAAGGTTTTTTGGACCAGAATAATGGTATATCATATTAAAATCTTCAAAAAATCTTCATACAGATCGGTGCGGCTGCCGTAGTAATGGGGGCACTGTGCCGGTCCGTTGTGGTGAAGAGAGAGCTGAGCCAAAAAGCGAAGCTCTTGATTTACCGGTCGGTCTACGTTCCTACCCTCACCTATGGCCATGAACTTTGGGTCATGACCGAAAGAACAAGATCCCGGATACAAGCGGCTGAAATGAGCTTCCTCCGTAGAGTGGCTGGGCACTCCCTTAGAGATAGGGTGAGGAGCTCGGCCATCCGGGAGGGGCTCGGAGTAGAGCCGCTGCTCCTCCACATCGAGAGGAGCCAGTTGAGGTGGCTCGGGAATCTATATCGGATGCCTCCTGGACACCTTCTTCGGGAGGTGTTCCAGGCACGTCCCACCGGGAGGAGGCCCAGGGGACGGCCCAGGACACCTGGAGGGACTATGTCCTCTCGGCTGGCCTGGGAAGGCCTTGGGCTCCCCCCGGAGGAGCTGGAGGAGGTGTCTGGGAGAGGGACGTCTGGGTGTCTCTGCTGAGTCTGCTGCCCCCCTGCGACCCGGTTCCGGATAAGCGGAAGACAACGAGTACGAGTACGAGTACGAGTACGAGTACGAGTACGAGTACGAGTACGAGTACGAGTACGAGTACGAGTACGAGTACGAGTGTCGGCCCCAGTCATATGCATTTATAGGGATGGAGCATCTATACATTTTCATTGCTTGATCCCAACAGTTAGCCATTTCCAGACAGCAATGGAGGGCAGTGGAAACACAGAGTACACACCAGGCTGGGATATGTATGCATATTGATATTGAAAACATAGATTTCGTTCTTATACTTTGAATTGCAGTGTCTTGTAAATGTATTCATACACATTGAATTATTTCAAATGTTGTAACTTTACAACCACAACATTCAATGTATTTTATGGAACTTTATGCAATAAACCAACACAAAAACCATAGACCAGAAAATACAGTTCAGGTCTCATCTAACCACAGCAGCTTTTTTCAACCATTTGCTGTCCCTACATGACTTGTGGCAAACTTTAAACAGGGCTTCTTATGACCTTCCAACAACAGCCTTCTTCTTCAATAAAACCCACATTTGTAGAGGGCATGCTTCACTGTTGTTCTGTTGACAGATTCTCTCACCTGAGCTGGGGATTTCTGCATTTTCCCACAGGGAAACGATGGGACTCTTGGCCTGTCGATATACAATTCTTGGTATGTCTGCAGTTTTGCCGTTTTCAAAATGATGCATTAAACAATCCCCCGAGAGATTATCTAAGCTTTGGATATAGTTTTAGAACCTGACTCTGCTTCCCCACAACCTGACCCAGACCTGTGTTCATTGGTTTTCATTATGCAGTCGGTTCAGTAGTGTTCTCAAACAAACCTCTGAGGCTTTCATAGAACACCTGAGCTCAAATTACACACAGGAAAACTGTATTTAATAAATCGACAACATCAGTTGACCTGGATGTTATTCAGGAGAATCAGATTAAAGGGGTCAGGCACCTTTCGGTCACATTTTCAATTCAAAATCAAATGAGCCAAACTTAGAAAAACATGTATCTTTTTATTTGTCTTCATAAATTATCTTGAAGTTTGTTGTTGTAAAATGTTTAATTGTTCAACAGGTATGAATACATTTGCAGCACACTGTAAACAGTAGATTTTGAAAATATGAAAAAATACCTGTTCTGAAGTTATTTAAAGGTTTAGCACTTTTATGTTATAATGCAAAGAAATAAAATAAAAAACATACAATGGATTAAATCTGAGAGTTAGTTTATGGCAGACCTGTGTGTATGGCAGTGATGTGAAGTCAGCAGGTGAGGCAGTCATGAAACCAGGTGGTTGTAGAGAATCTGGTGACAGGTCCTCAGGGCTTGCCAGGCCATCTTTCCACTCCTTGAACACAAACACATAACATGAAACTGAAGTGCATTGTAGGCCTTTTAGTATGTATTCAGACACAGAAAATCTAATGGACAAAACGAAAAAGGTGAGAATGAGTCAGAAAACGTGTTAAGAGCCAAGCCAGCAGCAACTCTGCTGTCCAACATAGGACTTCAAATGTCAAACTTGCATCCATGCTGACATTCCTTCCCTGCCTTAAGTAAACAAGAGGCAGTTTAGCATGACCTTAGCTAAGATGTTTGTTTATGTAAGGCAGAAACCAATTTTAAAAAGACCTTATCATGAGAAGATCTGGGTATAATTTGTGATCTTCGAGTTTACTTATGGGGAGGTTCAACTCATCTGTATAAAGTAAAACCCAGACGGCAAATTCAAGACTTGTCTGACTAGTTTATGTAACCACAAATTAAACAATTAAAGAAAACATCCTGGTAGTAAGTTATACTGCTTGTTCTCACCCGTTCTCTGTGCGTGACAGGTAGAATGGTAAATGCTTCATCAGGCCTCACAGAGCTGCCAAGGTCCTGGCTCTGGCTGTGGGATGGAAGAGGTGGAGGTTTTCCTTCAAGCTTCCGGACCTGGCGATCCCCCTTGGCAGTGGATCCAGCGCTGAGTTTGCGGACGGGGTTTGTAAGCCACTTCTTCAGGGTGCTCACAGAGCGCCTAGAGCTTGGTGAGCTGGGGGCTGAGCTGCCTGACGGTTGCGGCGGCAGCGACGCCACGGAGGTGGAAATGCTGCCCTCGCTGCCTGCTGCCGAGTAAGAGTCTGCAGAGAGGACACAGGGAGGGAGAAATCAAAGTGATATCTGCAAGATAAGGAGTAACTGCATCACAGGGCAGAGTACACTCTGCTAATGAGTGAAGAAGTCAAAAGCTCAAGAAGAGATTTTTGTCAAAGGAAAGATAACATTTGACTGACAATTGAATTGCAGACCTGCTGATGTGATAGGTGAACTGACACTGTAAAAACTATTGGGTAAAAAACAAACAATCTGGAGGTTTTTGCTTACCTAGTCCTGGGTTTTCTGTATATATTGAGTTTTCTGTATATATTAAGTAGAATGGTGGGGTTTTTTTTGCATAAAAAAAAGCATTAAAAATGCTGTTTTTGCGTTTTGTCATATGGAGTAAGAGTTAAATAAATTTCTAAATTTGTTATGATCAATCTCTGCTCACAGTACAATAATAATCCATTCAAAGTTAACCTATTAAATGGAGTCCAAATTCCCTAAAGACAGTGGAAATACTCTTTAATTCAGCAGAACCTTCCAATCAGATACCACCTTCACTGTCCTTTGCAAGCTGCGGTGTCTCACCCACTCACTACTGAGCAAATAGTTCAGGTCACAACTAACAGATAACGTTTACAAGTGCTGTTGCTGGCCTTCAACTTGATGCCACCCTGAGCAATGAGCCATTTAGCTTTCATCAAAAACTGAACTTAGGAAAGACGACCATGCACTCACACAGAAACTCAGACCTACAGGCAATTTATAGTGACCGAATAACCTCAGTGTGAAAAGACTACCCAGAGACAACCAACACATGCTTTGGTAGAACATGCAATCATGCAGAAAGATCCCAGCTTTGACAAAAATCCAGGATCTTCTTGCTATGAGGCAACATTGCAAGCGATTGTGCTACTGTACAGCCTGAACGATTTTTAGTTTTGTGGCCCAATAACATTAGCTTATCAATTTTTAAAGGACTAAAGACAATAATCTCATAAGTTTGATGACTCACATGCATTATATAATAATATTTTAAACATTGCCTATTCCATAGTTCTATTTTAGAAAGAATAATGAGGTCAAAGAATGAATGTTAAACACAGCTAG